AAAACAACAAAACAACGGACGAGAAAATAAATGCGCATCCAGGGAATCGAACCCTGGTCAGTACCGTGGGAGGGTACTATGATACCACTACACCAGATGCGCTTGGTAGGTTATTTTTCCTTTCACTAAGTATTTTATTCCCTGTCCACTTTTTTTTGGAGCAATGCATGAAGATGAAGGTTTGTAAATAGCTCACGCGATGACAGTTTTGACAAAGATGTTCCATCATCCAGGAAACTGTGATAACTTGACCGATTTGTAGAGATGGTGATACTTGGTGTAGAGGAATTTGAATTCTACAGTATATTTCAGTGTTCAGATTTGCAAAAAAATAGGGGGACAAAAATAATGGAGAAGTGGGGTATCGATCCCCATACCTCTCGCATGCTAAGCGAGCGCTCTACCATCTGAGCTACATCCCCTTGTATGCAGAACGCAATTAACAATCCTACTTAAGAGCATGGTAACTACATCTGAGCTATTTAAAAAAAATCCGTCCCACTACTTTGTATAGGAACTGTGAAACAAAGGAACCAGTTTTATGCATAATGATGACCCAACTGAAAACTGTAGCCAGCACAAGACTGACAGGACACAATAATAGTGCAGGCGAACGGCCTGACAAATCCATTACAGCACCGTATAATGAAAAGCATGAACAAACACATAATACAAAATACTCGCTTCAGAAAAGAAAGGGGCCGTCAGAAATTGCAGTATACATATATGGAGTAATTCTCTGGCATGATCTGTCGGTGGAGAGCGCATTGACAGTGGGAAAATATGGTGTTTGCATGTCTCACCACCCCTATAATTTTTCTGCGGTTTGTACGGATGGTTTTGCCTTTTAGTTTTTCTTTGTTACCCTCAAGCCTTTATGTTATTTCCCCGGCTTGTAAAGAACTTGGATGCCCTTCTATTGGAAATGGTTCAGGCCGGATTTTGGCCAAAAAAAAAAACACGAATTTGACCATCTCAACAACTGCTACTGTCAAACATCCAGGGTTCATGCTGGAACAGCTCTCGGCCGTTCATTGTTTGCACTGCTCCTGAAGCCATACATCAGCCTGCTCGCTTCTGAGATGCTAGAGCTCTCGATCTTTGCAACTTCTTCTGCATCCTGAAGTTCAGGTTGCTAGTATGATGGATGGTGTCTTATTCTGGACAAAACAAAGGGATTGATTTTATCCATAACGACGACCCAACTAACAACTACAAATTCCAAGTGAAGAACAGTTAAGATTCACAGATTGATGGATGAACTGGGAAAATTCCAGCTCAACTGTTTGCGCCGCCAAAGAAGGGGGCGTCGTCAACTGTTGTAATATAACATTCATATCATTATCATGGATGCAATCAGGTAGGCAGTAGCAGCGCAAGACTAACGGGACATAATTGTGCAGGCGAACTGCCTGAAAAATCCGTTTCAGTACCCGGCTAAATAAAATAATGAAGAAAGTCAGAATACACAATAGTTGCTTCAGAAAAGAAAGGGACAGAGTGCACATGTATGGAGTAATCCACCGGCATGAACTGTCAGTGGAGAGAGCATTGACAGTAGGAAAATCGGTCCTGAAAACACTTCTGGCCTGCTCATCGTGACATTGGCGAGCCAGAATACATAATATCAGCAACTTGCTCACTCATCCCCAACCCTGCCATCATGTTCAAATATTGATATCTTACTACCATAGCTGACGCTTTCTTCTGCAAGGTACATCTCCAGGTTCAGCCGATGTTCTATAGGCAGCCAAAAGTTCAGCCAGATTTATTTTTCAAACCATGCAGCCCCAGCTGCATATGTGATCAATTACCATATGAAAAGAACTACAGCCGGTATAGAACCAGCACAAGGCACAATGGCGCAAGCCAACACAACGCATAAACTATACACAAATTAAAACACACACGACCCAGACAAAGTGGCATTTCAGCCTGCATCTGCTGGTAAATTCAGTCTTTGGCTACTCACAATAGCGCATTGCCTTGCATTAACTTTTGTTTGATCGATGACCTGCTGGATTGGTGCCAATATAACAAGAGGTAGAGCAAGATTGGGTTAGAACCAAACACAGCCTACACCAGTGCTTTCGCTCTGCTGTGCAAGGCACGCCTCCAGGTTCTCAAGCACTTCTTGCATTGAAGGGCGATCAATACCATGATTACTAACACATTTCCCAGCAATCTCGACAAACCTGTGGAAGCACCGCGGATAAATCTTTCCTTCAAGACAGGGATCAACAATCAAACCAAGGATGCCCTTCTTCTGGCAATCAAGGGCACATTCTACCAAGTGAACTCGTCTTTCTGGGAGATTCGGATCAAAAGCAGCCCGAGCACACAAAACCTCAAACAACACGACACCAAAAGAGTATACATTGGAGTTCTCTGTTAGTTCCCATAGAGCTCGTGCTCACTTTCATGGTATCCTGCGGCTGTGAGACTGTACTTGAAAGCTTGCCGACCAATTTCTCATCTAGGAGAATGTTCGTCGTCGACACATCATTAGAGATGATGGAACACTCATGAAGGTAGTGCAGGGCACGAGCAGCACCGATGCAGACGTCTAGACGCTGCCTCCAAGTAAGCGGTGGCTCCTCCGTTTTGTTAGCGTAAAGGTTCTCACTCAGGGTGCCACGAGCCATATAATCGTACATCAGTATCCTCTGGTTTTTCTCTTTGCAGTAACCGACCAAAGATACGAGATGATGGTGGCGGAGCTTTGCCATCATCGCTATCTCTGTCTTGAACTTATTGACATCCTGCTTAACTATGCCACGTTTGATGGCCACCTTGGTTGCTCCCGCATCAATCATTCCATAGTAAACTATACCAGATCCACCCTGACCAACAATGTGTGACCCAACAACGTTCCCTGTCGCAGATTTCATCTCCCTAAGTGAGAAATGGCGGCACAAGTTGGATGGCAAAGATTGTGGCGTGACTGAGCTAGAAGATTGCCAGTTGTTCTGAGCTGCTGACTTGTTCCTCCACCCCCAAGGAAAAATAGTTTGTTTTCCTTGAACTTGAGTTTTTCTAAGCGCCCGAAGACTTTCTGTCACATCTATCATCTCAGGGCGTCTATCCATCTCCATCCTCAAACATTGCCCTGCTAGCTTCGCAACCCCTTCAAGAACCTTCATGTTATTCTCGCTTGAAATTTCAAGATCGAACAACTCTCTCACCTTTCTCTTCCCTGTTGCAAGAGCTTGGGTGAAACATTCAACTATGCCGGCCTCCCCATTTCTTATTGTTGCCTTTTTCTTTGTAATAAATTCAACCAGAACGATTCCAAAACTGTAAACATCACTCTTTCAGATGAGACGCCCGCTGCCAGCAAACAAAGGGTCCATGTAACCTATGCTCCCCATTACATGCTCAGTGAAAAGGGTCGAGTCTGTGTTGACCAGTCTTGATATTCCAAAGTCAGATATTTTTGCATTGAAGTTGTCATCTAAGAGCATCTCCAACAGCCACGCAACGCGCCGCACGCTAAAAGTCGCGATACAGCGCCGGGTTAGCCAGTTTTTGCGCGCAGCGGTGCGCTGGCTCCAGCGGCCGCCGCAAATTAAAGTGCGCCCACGCCGCTCCAGCAGGCATGCTATATTTCAGTTTTTTCTACTACATATTTGGTTTTGTAGATAGTTCTTCTACTACATATTTGGTTTCGTAGATAGTTCTCCTACTACTACTCGTCTGAATCGGACTCTGTCTCAGTGATGTCCTCCTCCGACGTCAGAGCGTAGGTGTCAAGGAACCGCTCGTCGCCGGAGTTTCAGGAGGACGCATCTCCTAGCGCTTGGTTGTATTTAGCGACCGCCTTCCGCATTCGCTTGTCCTCGCGATAGTCGGCTCGCTCCTCTCTCCTCTTCGCTCTCCTCGCCCTTCTCTGGGCGAAAAACTGTTTCTCGTTGGTGTCTTCCGGGAAGCGATGACTCCACAGCGTCATGGCTTGCTCGTCCATCTCGGCCAGCCTGAGACGATGCTCCCGCCTCCGGTGCTTGCGATGATCCTCGCCAGTGAGAAGCCGCGGGAAAGGCGCCAACTCCTGTGCGCGCTGCAGCGTCGCCACGTCGGCGAAGTTCATGTCCTGACGGGACTGCAGGAGGCGCCACGCCGCAGCGTCGTACGCGCGGGCGCCCTCCTGGGCGGTGTCGAAAGTTCCGAGACGGAGCCGCATGCCGCCGCCCGACCGAATCTCGGCGGAGTAGGTGCTGGACGGACGCACGTGGACGTCGCGGTAGCCCGTACCTCCCCGGCGCCGAGGCGGCATTGTGGCGCGGTGGTGGCGTGTCGGCGGCAGAGCGCGGTAGGGGGGATGGAGAGACGGAGAGAGCGGCAAAGGGCGATGGAGAGAGCGGCGGAGGCGCTGCAATTTATAGGTGCGCCGGACGCGGCGCGCCAAATGTAGCGCGCGAGCGGCCGCCTTTTCCCGCGCGCGCAATCGTTCCCGCCACCGCTAGAGCGCGCATAAACATCCCCCGCGCGCTATAAAGCTAATTTACCCCGCGCGCGTCTTTTGGCGCGGCTGTTGAAGATGCTCTAATAGTATATTGGCAGGCTTGATATCATCATGAATGACCTGAGTATACATTTGCGAATGCATGTAACACAATGCCTCTGAACACTCCACCGCGATCCGCAGTCGAGTATCTAATGGGATGGGAATGCGTTCATGGTGAAGAACATCGCCAAGGTTCCCTTTAGATATATACTCGCTGACTATCATTAGGGCTTTTTCCTCGGCACAGTAGCCTATGAGCCGAACTACGTTCCTGTGGTTGATTTCACAGTGGACTTTCAGCTCTTTGGCAAAATTTTCTTCTACATTACACATAAATTTCTTGACTGCAACTGTTGTTCCATCTTGGAGAACACCTTTGTAGACTTCTCCGAAGCCGCCTTTTCCAATGATAGTTTCATAGTTACCGGTAATTCCTCTTATCTCACCCTCAGTGAAGCATTTTATGTTATGATTGTTGTGTGATAACCACTTTGATCTGTCATCCCTTTGGATCATTTCTGTCACCGTACTTTCTCGAAGGTCCATCTTATGAAAGTAAAGTAGCAGAGACTGAGTATAACAGTTAGCTTCGACTAGTATGCTGGATACATGGACTTGACCTGAAAAATAGTTTCCAAAAGTGTGAAACTCAGATCTCAATATCCAGAGTTATCAACAAAATAAGAGTACTTTACAGAAATCAATGATTGCCAAATGATTTGTGGCCATATCAGATGCTTATGTACTGAAGAAACATTGATGTGTGTTGTTTTAAAGATAGTTTGTCATGAAAGATCTCCTCTGGCTGCTGAAGGGTAGGAAGTTGACCAAAAGATTGGGTAAGAGCTGGTTTCAGTCCAACACATAAATCAAGAGAGTAATGTCAAACATGTAAACATGTCACGTTCATTGAGCCCCACACCGGCGCATGATAGAGATAGATAGAGTAGGTTGTTTGGATGTTTATCTCATATCTCATATTGTAACCTCTCTCTTATCTCTTCCTCCCCAAGATGTAATCTTCCTAGAAGATCTAAACTACCGCAATGTATGCACTATCAGGGAGGTGCGCCCCTGCTCCATATAACACGTAACGCGTCCCTCACATCGAGGTAAGACGCTTCTGCCTAGTCGCACATGGTAATCAGAGCCTCCTCTTCCAATCTCGTCTAGGTTTCCAGAAATCCAGTAGCACTAGCCTCCATGTCTTCCTCCGCCACCTCCCACGCAAGCCTCAATGGCCAGGTTCCGGAGAAACTCTCTCGCACGAACTATGTGCTTTGGCGTACTCAGATCACGCCCCAACTGAGAGGGGCAGGTCTCTTCGGCTATGCCGATGGCACCATGCCTGAACCAACGCCCCTTCCTGTCACCAAGGACAAGGATGGGAAGGAAACCTCCGAGCCCAACCCTCTCCACCCCATCTGGGTCAGGGAGGACCAGCAGGTGCTCGGCTACCTCCTCGGCAACCTCTCCAAGGAGGTGCTGATCACGGTGACCGCGATCACCACCGCGCACGGCCTCTGGTTGGCGCTGGCGGGCATGTTCTCGTCGCAGTCCTTGAGCCGCGTCAACAACATCCGCACCGCCCTCATCAACGCTCAAAAGGGCAACCAGTCCATCGCTGCCTACTTCGCCTTCATGCGCGGGCTTGCCGATGAACTCGCCGCGGCGGGCAAACCCATCCAGGATGACAAGCTCATCTCCTACATCCTGCACGGGCTGGACATGGACTACCAGCCCCTGGCCTCAGCTCTCGACGCCCGCGTCATGCCCGTCACCCTCGACGAGCTCTTTGCCATGCTCAGCAACTTCGATCAATGCGTGGCCCACTTCTAGAACTCCGGCGATGGCTTCAAGTCATCTGCGAACGCGGCCACCCGCGGGCATGGTGGCTACTCAGCTCGCCACCACGGTCCTCCTCGTCCCAAGGGCAAGCAAGGCGGCCCCAGCAACGCCACCGACTTCGGTTCACGCTCTAGCCGTCCCAACTCCACCAGCAACAGGGGGCGGCGCAGTGGATCTGGCCGGTCTCGTCTTGACGACATTCGCTGTCAAATCTATGGGAAACCTGGCCACACAGCTAAAGACTGTTGGTACCAGTTTGATGAGGACGAGGCGACATCTGAAGAAGATGACAAGGTGGCGGCGGCTGCCAATGTCTCCTATGGCGTGGATACCAACTGGTATCTCGATAGTGGCGCCACCAACCATCTCACGGGCGAGCTAGAGAAGGTGACTCTCCGTGAGAAATATCATGGGAAGGACCAGATCCATACAGCCAGCGGTGCAGGTATGAGCATACGTCACATAGGTCACTCAGTTATTCATACCCCTTCCCGCAAAATTCATCTTCGAAAAATCTTGCATGTTCCTAGTGCCAATAAGAATCTTCTGTCCGTTCATCGCATCACCATTGATAATCATGTTTTCATTGAGTTTCACCCCTTTTTCTTCTTGATTAAGGATCAGGCCACGAGGAGAATCCTCTATCGAGGTAGATGCATTCGAGGACTTTACCCGTTGATTCCGGAGTTTCGAAGATCAAATAAACAAGCTTGTGGTGCTATCAAGCTCTCGTCCACACGATGACACGATCGTTTAGGATATGCTTCCTTTTCCTTAGTTGAAAGTTTGCTTAAGAAAAAATAAGTTCCCGTTTGCTGGTGAGCGCAACATTGAGACTATTTGTGATTCTTGCCAAAGAGCAAAATGTCATCAGTTACCGTATCCCATATCAACTAGTGTTTCTACTCAACCTTTGCAATTAATATTTTCTGATGTTTGGGGCCCTGCTCCTAGCTCGGTTGGTAGATACACATATTACGTTAGCTTTATTGATGACTATAGCAAATTCTTGTGGATTTATCTTCTCAAGAAGAGGTCCGAAGTCTTTCAAGTTTTTCAAAACTTCCAAGCACTTGTTGAACGCAAGTTTGACCGCAAGATTATTGCCGTCCAATCCGACTGGGAGGGGGGAGTATGAGAAACTCAATTCCTTTTTCCAACACTTGGCATATCACATCACGTGTCATGCCCTCATGCTCACCAACAAAATGGGTCAGCCGAACGTAAGCATAGACACATTGTTGAGGTTGGTCTACCCCTCCTAGCTGGTGCTTCCATATGCCCCTTAAATTCTGGGATGGAGCTTTTCTCACGGCTGTTCATATCATTAATATGTTCCCTAGCCGTGTTATAAATAATGAAACTCCCATTGAACGACTTCTTCATGTCAAACCAGACTACACTTCTCTATGTGTTTTCGGCTGTGCATGCTGGCCCAATCTCCGTCCTTACAACACCAGAAAACTCATGTTTCGCTCCCAACAGTGCGTGTTCCTTGGGTATAGTGCTCAACACAAGGGGGTCAAGTGCCTTGATGTCTCCTCCGGACGTGTCTACATCTCTCGCGATGTAGTCTTTGATGAGACCAAGTTTCCATTTTCTGACCTCCACCCAAATGCCGGTGCCTTGCTTCGCAAAGAAATTCTTATTCTCCCATCCACTCTCACTGGTCTTGATTCAAGGGATGATAAATGTGTTGACTCTATGATGACTAACCCGCTCACTGAAGGAAATATGCCCTAGAGGAAATAATAAAGTTATTATTTATTTCCTTATATCATGATAAATGTTTATTATTCATGCTAGAATTGTATTAACCGGAAACATAATACATGTGTGAATACATAGACAAACAGAGTGTCACTAGTATGCCTCTACTTGACTAGCTCGTCGATCAAAGATGGTTAAGTTTCCTAGCCATTGACATGGGTTGTCATTTGATTAACGGGATCACATCATTAAGAGAATGATGTGATTGACATGACCCATTCCGTTAGCTTAGCACTCGATCGTTTAGTATGTTGCTATTGCTTTCTTCATGACTTATACATGTTCCTATGACTATGGAATTATGCAACTCCCATTTACTGGAGGAACACTTTGTGTGCTACCAAACGTCACAACGTAACTGGGTGATTATAAAGGTGCTCTACAAGTGTCTCCGAAGGTACTTGTTGGGTTGGCGTATTTTGAGATTAGGATTTGTCACTCCGATTGTCGGAGAGGTATCTCTGGGCCCTCTCGGTAATGCACATCACTTAAGCCTTGCAAGCATTGCAACTAATGAGTTAGTTGCGGGATGATGTATTACGGAACGAGTAAAGAGACTTGCCGGTAACGAGATTGAACTAGGTATTGAGATACCGACGATCGAATATCGGGCAAGTAACATACCGATGACAAAGGGAACAACGTATGTTGTTATGCAGTCTGACCGATAAAGATCTTCGTAGAATATGTAGAAGCCAATATGAGCATCCAGGTTCCACTATTGGTTATTGACCGGAGACGTGTCTCGGTCATGTCTACATAGTTCTCGAACCCGTAGGGTCCGCACGCTTAACGTTACGATGACAGTTATATTATGAGTTTATATGTTTTGATGTACCGAAGGTTGTTCGGGGTCCCGGATGTGATCACGGACATGACGAGGAGTCTCGAAATGGTCGAGACATGAAGATTGATATATTGTAAGCCTATGTTTGGATATCGGAAGTGTTCCGGGTAAAATCGGGATTTTACCAGAGTACCGGGAGGTTACCGGAACCCCTCGGGAATCAAATGGGCCTTAGTGGGCCTAGGTGGAAGAGAGGAGAGGAGGCAAGGGCTGGCCGCGCGCCCCTCCCCCTAGTCCGAATAGGACAAGGAAAGGGGGGCGGCGCCCCCCTTCCTTCCTTCTCCTCCACTCCTTCCCCCTTAAGTCCTAATCCAACTAGGAAAGGGGGGGAGTCCTACTCCCGGTGGGAGTAGGACTCCTCCTGGCGCGCCCTCTCCCTTGGCCGGCCACACCCCCCTTGCTCCTTTATATACGGGGGCAGGGGGGCACCCTAGAGACACAACAATTGATCATTGATCTCTTGGCCGTGTGCGGTGCCCCCCTTCACCATAGTCCACCTTGATAATACTGTAGTGGTGCTTAGGCGAAGCCCTGCGTCGGTAGAACATCAACATCATCACCACGCTGTCGTGCTGACGAAACTCTCCCTCAACACTCGGCTGGATTGGAGTTCGAGGGACGTCATCGGGCTGAACGTGTGCTGAACTCGGAGGTGTCGTACGTTCGGTACTTGATCGGTCGGATCGTGAAGACGTACGACTACATCAACCGCGTTGTGCTAACGCTTCCGCTTTCGGTCTATGAGGGTACATGGACAACACTCTCCCCTCTCGTTGCTATGCATCACCATGATCTTGCGTGTGCGTAGGATTTTTTTTTGAAATTACTACGTTCCCCAACACTCACCACGTTGCATGAGTTGTGTGATGATACAGGAGATAGTGCAGATGCATCTGGGAACGGAAACTCTGAATAAATCGGTGAAAATCCTGAAGAAAATGGTGCTACAGCACCATATTTCATGTGCCCCAGCTCGGGGAACAAATCCCCCTCGGGATCGGTGTGTGCAGGGCCGACAGAATCCGCCCCGGGATCTGCATCCGACGACAGGCTGCGCGGATCCGCCTCGGGGTCAGCGCCC